CTTTAGTGAATCCCCAAACATATGCGAATGGCATACAACAGACTTTATGGATATCTTTAAAGGCTGAATATAAGAATAATGAAGAAACATTGCTACACTATTCACCATTTATACCTCTATGCATACAACCTCTATATATCTGAACAAATGTTTCAACAAAGAACAATGAATTTGGCAAAAACTTTGGAGAGATGGCCTTTATATACTAATGAGCCAAAACATTATGACCATTTAACCATTTTTCAATAAGTCATCTGGATGACATAAAGGGCATGTGATTAAGTGGGAATGGTATTTAATTGCTGCTTAGAGAAGATAAGGAATTATTCTTGCTCTTACTTTGTGAGTGATAAGAAATGCTGCTGATATAAGCAAATTTAATAGAGGGCAGATTGTAATGGCCCGAAAACTCGGAATAAGAATATTCGAAACTGTAGGACTGGTAGGTTGTTCACGATCTGCCATTGTTAGTATTTGTGCAAAGTGGATAAATGTCAGTGAAACCAGCAATAGACACCAAGGTGTTGGATGCCCATGCATCATCAAAGAAAAAACATATCAGGGACTGTCCTGCTTGGTATAGCAAAACAGTACCAGATAGTGGCTCAGCTGATAGCCCAATGCAAAGCAAGTCCGACACTGCTGGATACGAGATTGTGCAACAGATGTCCCACTCATGTGCCTCTGTTGTGCAAGTGTCATTGTCAACTCGCCTACAGTGGGTCCGCGGACATCAAGACTGGACCATGGACAAGTGGAAGACAATTGCTGGGTCAAATGAATCATGATTTCTCATTCATCATGTCGATGGTCATATCAGCATCATCTTCCAGGTGAACACTTGCTCCCCCTCTGTACAGCAGGTCATACACAGGCTGGTGGTGGTGTTCTCATGGGTGGCGCTGGGACTCCTAGTTGTGATAGAACAGATCATGAAAGCCACAGACTATCTGAACATGACTTCAAATCAGCTATACTCCATGGCACCTCTCTTTCCAACTGAAATGGAGTCTTCCAGCAGGATAATGAAAAACACATAAATGATATGATATCTTTTTGGGTGAGTTCCACACCAACATACAGTATCATGATGGATAGATGTGCATCTGGAGCCAATGAGGGAACATATACGGATATCTGGCTTTTATACACTGTCATATCAAACCAGTGCCAGGAGTTATGATAAGGGTGTATATGGATATGAGTCTCTCTCATGCCAGGTATTCTTATCTAGAACTCTGATATGTCAACATTAAATTACAGACACGTTAAGGTTAGTGATTGTCCCATACATTCAAGGGTATCCTACAGCCAGATTCCAACAGGATAATGCATAATCACACATTACATTCAACAACTGACATTTGCTTGGCACATAAAAGGTTAGTTCCACCCTGGGCAAGATATATATCAAAACTTTTCCTGACTGAACACATTTGGTCTATGGTGTCATACATATTGAAACAACAAAGACCACTAGTGGATAAGCTGATGTACTCTGGCAATGAATTACAACTGCCAAAATTATAAGATTCCAAAATGCCATCCAGAGGTTCTTGGCTATGTTTTGCCATATAGCAGCAAACTGGCCCCATTTAGTACAGATTGTAGAACATTCTGTTTGCTCTATTTTTGAAATTTTAATGATGATATGGAATACCTTTTTTTAAATATTAAAATATGTTAAAAGCAATCTGCAAAATAAAGTTAATTGTGTTGTTTTTTAGGTCACGAAATGGTGTCACAATTTTAATGGCAAGCAGCCTAGCATTCAAACCAAACTTTTGTTAATCAATAGTAATTAAGTTGATGCTACTTTAAGCAACTTCTCCAATCTTAATATAATATGAGTAAAAAAATCTTCATTTCTTACATGCTTGCTTTGATCAAGTTGAAACACAGCATAAATGCTGCAATTATGGAATCCATGCTTGAAATTCATTAGTGAATTCAGCCATCTTTGCAACTGTATTGCTTTATTGTGATTAATACTCTATGAATTAACAAATATGCCTTATAAGTATTTTCTCTTTCCTTTTCGCATGCTTTCATGGTGTTATTGGATAGGAAGTCCATTGGAAGGTCCACTTTTTGAATCTTGCTGAAGATTTGCAGATTTCTTCAGTTTCTGGACATAAAAAAATTTTAAAAGGACTCTCCAGGTGTCTAAACCCAAACTAAACATAGCATTCAAAACAAACTTTTATTAATCAATAGTTATAAATTGATACTATTTCCTCCTCTAGAAATAAAGCAACTTGTCCAATCTTAATCTAACATGACTAATGCAATCTTTAATTCTTACATGCTTTGACTAGTGTCTAAACCCAAACTATAAAAGGTGGTGGACAATCATTCATCATCACCAGGATTTGGTGTTTTGGGTCCCACCATCCCCAGTCACCCTTTAATCGCTTGCCTGATTATCCCGAGTTATCCTGGGTTTGTATATATTGCAGTTAATTATTATCCCGAGAAAACTCGGGCAAAGCAGAATTTGTCAGTACGATTTGTTTTATCACGGTTTTACTCGGTCTGGAGGAAATGAAAAGAAATATTCAGCTTTTATTGACAGTTCGCCAAGTTTTGTTGGTTTCGCGGTTCTTTTGGCGGGACTGGTCATGTGTTTTCCCTATTGTCTAGTATACGTCTGCTTGTGGATTAGTAATGTAAAAGAAAGATAGTTGCATTGAAAAATGTCAAATAATGGCGATGATACAAGATAGCCAAAGTGATGATTTTTCAGGTAGTGATTATAACCTCAAGGCATTTTCCAGATGTTATTATTGTTACTGAAAAAAAATCAACTCCAATGAGACATTCCAGAGATAAGCCAGTAAGAAAAGAAACCAGATACCAGTGTATAGAAAGTCAGGTATCACTTTGTGTTGTCCCTTGTTTCAAAAATTCTCATACAACGACTAATATTTAATTTTTTTATTTGCCCGAGATAACTCAGGATAGTAAACTAATATTAAAAATAAATGCTTTTACACCTGTAAAAAATTAAAAATTCAACTCAAACCTATATATTTTGTTTTGTTTCGTTTCCTTGTATTTAATAATAAAATAAAAAAATGTGATGATTTTTTGCAATTTTTTTCAAAAAAATGTGTAAGGGAAGCAGTTAAAAGAAGGAGTATACAGTCAAAAGTCGTTAATTCGGACACCCATAATTCGGAATGATCTATAATCCGGACCTCAAAGCTAAAAACTTTCTGCGCATGCGCCGCGTTGGCACACGCGCACAGGCGTTTTACGCATGCGCTTAAGACCTTGACTACTGCGCATATGCGTGTGCGCAAGTGCAGAATACGTTTTCGCCTGCGCGTTTAATGTATAACGGATGGCGTAAGCTAAAATGATCTAATTATCTATTTCAGTTAATGTTAATGATTGCGTTGTTCCTTAATCTTCGAATTGGATCCCGCTTATTATTTTTTTGCAGACTGTAAGAGCAATTTTATAAAAGTAAACTTGAACTTTGTGATTATGTCAAATAGAATTTCCAATGCTGCTGGAACTTCCAAAGATCTACAAAATGAAAGTAGTGTTTTCGATGTCCAACAAACAAAAGTGGAGTGGAAGTGAATTACTGCAAAAAATGGATAAAGACATGAAGAATGTGACAGAGAGGTTAGTGAAAACGAAAAAAAAAAATTTCGATTGACAAAGTTAGTAGTCAGTATTCTCGGCACAGCAATTAACGAGACTTGAACAGCGGAACTTTGTAACCGAACAAGAAATTATTATGTCTTTTTTTTATAGAATTAAAGAGAAAGTATTATCACATAAAATGAAGCAACTTAGACAATTAGACAAACTTACACTGAGAGAAATGTTTAATAAAGTAAACAAATAAATATTAAGCTTTTTTTTTTTTGTAAATTTTGATACCCTTTAGATCATAATTGTTCTTTATTTCATAAATTACGGTTTATATTTTAATTTTAGAATTTCTGCATGCCATCTTACGAGATTTAAACTGATGATCTATAATCCGGAAAAATCGATAATCCGGAATCGCCGAAGTCCCGACAAGTCCGGATTAACGACTTTTGACTGTATAAGGTATTTACCCTTTCCTTTCTGTGTGTCTTTGTGGTGTAATTGGATAGTATGTCTGGCTAGCAATTAAGGCCTGGTGTTTGAAATGCTGGCGAGGGCACTACACATTTTTCCTGTCTTCTGCATCAATAAACCTAATGACACTACAACCTAAATAAAGAAATCTGTCAAAATTTCTGACTGCATATTAAAGGAAGAAAAAATCACTAGCTCCATTATATACATCAGACCTAAATATTATATATATATATCTTACAAAATGCACATATTAAGAATTACACAAAAATACAGATACCTATATGCAGTATACATCATAAATTTCCTAGTTCTGATAGCATGCAATTTAAAAAAGAATTAGAAATTATCACAAATGCACATTTTAATACAAAGAACATGCCAATAAGAAAATAAGCTAAATGGCTGAAGAAATCTTCAGCCATTTAGCTTATTTTTTTTATAAAACTAATTTTTTAAAAAACAGGGAAAAGGAGAGAGAAAGAGAAGGCATTTTGCCAACAACAGAGAATCATTAAATGAAATAAATAATAACCATACTTTTTGCCAAGAATATCTGCACACCTTGTTTTAAAATGAGTATCTCAAAGCTTCCACTACTACTTTTGTAGTACACTGCCATCTGGATATTCAGACGATCAGTTAAATAATTAGGATACTTAAAACATGGCAGATAAAAAATATCCTGTAAAAAAAATAATATACTTTAAGATATGCAAATAAACACTCTTTAGTATTTTCAGAAGTAAAACTTTAGTATTACCTTAATGTAAAGATTCATAATTTTTTCAAAAAAAAAAAAAAAAAAAAAAAAAAAAAAAAAAAAAAAAAAAAAAAAAAAAAAAAAAAAAAAAAAAAAAAAAAAAAAAAAAAAAAAAAAAAAAAAAAAGAAAAAAAAAAAAAAAAAAAAAAAAAAACAAAAAAAAAAAAAAAAAAAAAAAAAAAAAAAGAAAAGAAAGCATCTTATAAGTGTTCAGTATAAATATTTAACAATTGCAGCTAAACTGAAAAATTCATTTCCTTACTTCAGTAATAAAGTGAGGCAAATACTAAGTACCATTAATGAATAAAAATATTACAATTTCTTTCAAACATTTTGAATTTCATAAATTTTAAAAGGTCTTTTACAAAATTTCAATAAAATTTCTTAGCTTACTTTTAATATTTATTTGTAGAGTAATTTATACTAATCTTTAGTCAGTGATTTATGGATATTTTTATGAGATAGCATTCATCATTTTCAGTGACTCTTTCATAGCCACTGTGCAGTAATCATTAGCAAAATCAGCTTTCAGTGAAATATACCTAAATATATTAAAGCTCTATGAATTTTTGAGAAAATGGGGTTTACTCAAACTATCTACCTGGAATGCACTTATAAGAGACTACTTCAGTGATCAAAGGTGCTAAAACTGTTTTTATACTACAGTGGAGCACTGTCTTTCCAGGGATGGTTCACAAATGACATATAAATAAAATGTTAATTTACGATGTGAAATATTAACTGCCCAATTTTCATACTACTTAACCTACTACTGATTTACAATTTTATTAATTTCAATTTGTTAAAAATATCAAATACATTCAAACAAAATTAAAATTATTATTTAATTAATATTAGTATTTTAAAAATAATATTAACACTAATATGTTTAAAATCATAATAATGCAAATTTCTGTGTGTAGTTACATAAAATTGGGGGAAAAAGGGTCATACCTTTATTTAAATTACCACCCTGAACAAGTAACATTTTTTAAAGAAAAAGGCCTTAAATTATCACTTGATGTTTCTTTTGATTCTGAATTTTACACAAAGTGTTATGAATTGAATTAAGTTCTTGAAATGTTTCCTTATTTGTATAATTACACACAAAGAAATTTCTGAGGGTGCAAATGAATAGATAGCATTTTAAAAAGAAGGGGATTATTTCTTCATTTTCTTCTTCATCCCTGCTACTTAAATGTTCATCTTGTAAAATGGTTTTAATTAGTTTTTTAATTATGTAAAGATACATCATTACACTACCATCACAGTTAACATGTTCTTCGATTGTAATTTCTAAACCCATAATTTCTAATTTTCTTCATCCATAATTCCAGTTTCATTATCATTTTCATAGTCAACACTTTCACTTGACTCTGATTTCGAAAATCCCTCTTTAATAAAAAAATTTTTAATTATTTGTAATTTTGCTCAAGTCCAGGCAAGTGAAATCATATTCGTAGCAATTCCTATAGTTATATTTTGAAGGACTATTTGAATCAATATTTGACTGCAAAAAACTTTCAAATTCTTAATGACACATGATCTAAACACTACTATAATTTGCCCAGCAGAAAATAACTTTCACATTTAGGAAGAAATCTGTTGTTTCAGGATGGGCGGTAAACTGATCCATAAAAGGTACACTTTTATGCTTTTCCTATTTTCTTGAGCCATTCTGTAAAAACATCTGTAGTCATCCATGCTTCCTCATTTTCTTTATATTCTAATAGCAGAGCTTTAACATGCTTGAAGCACCCTGTTTTTGTGACTTTTGTCATTTTTTCATTACAAAGGAGGAAAAAGAACTCATCATTTCATTTCAGGAGTCATGTTTTCCATACCATCAGCATCTGCATAAGGTAAAACAAAAGACCTTTACATCTCCTTCAAACTCATTCTTAGTTCCATGGTCACCTTTGCAAGCTGTAAAAAAGCAGGCATTTAAGTTTAAAGAAATGAACACTTTCATCAGCATTGTAAAATATCTTTTAATACATATTCAACTGTTTTGGCAGATAAGTTCTCGAACCACTCTTCAACTGACTCAGCAGGAATGTTTTTTGATTCTCCGTTTATTACATGATCTGAGATTATATGCCACAGTTTAAATTTATGCATCCAGTTGAAAAGCAAACTTCCTTCACATTTAATCAAAGTGCTCTTTCTTTTGACTTAATATGAGGCATTCACTGCAATATTGGACTGACACTAAAGGAAAAGTTTTAGCAAAATGGCTGTGATCTCAGAAAGCTTTTCATCTTGAACATGCAATTTCTTTGAAAGTGGACTCTCACAATTTCTGCTCTTTCTTCAACCTTTTTTCCCTCTCATAAAGAACTGTTTTTAGTGTTGTCATAGGAATGCCTATTTTCTTTGCTAACTAAACTTTTGTTGAACCATTATTCTCATCAAATTCTTTAAAGATTTAGGTTTTATCTTTTAACGAGATTTCCTTTTGCTTTTGTGACATTTTGTATCAGTTAATTCTAGTCCACCTAATTTACTTAACACAACGTCCTGTTCAGAAGAAGAAAGGGAAAAAAAAAAAAAAAACTTATCTATTTTTTCATCCAAGTATTCCCTCTCTTCATGAGCTAGTTTTGAATTCCTGTACCAGACTGTGATGCCTCATGCTTTTGTTCTTTTTTCTCCTATCCCTATTTCTGAGAAACATACTTGAATGGTGGAACTGCAAAATGTGAAACCAATGCAGTAAGACAAACAAAAGCAACATATAACTGAAGTTATGCGACATATAAAAGAAATATTTTATTTTGAAAATAAATAGACTCAATAAGGACCAAGATGAAATTACACATAAATGGTGCTCCACTGTATTTGATTCGTGTAGTCTTTTCTTTATGTTTCATATCTTTTAAGATTATAAAATAAAGACCATTTCTATATTATCTTAAAAATTAAAAGAACCTGCAAACTCAATTTTCTGTAATTTCAATGCATGTTTTACAGTGATAGCCTCTGAGATTTGAAAAATTAACATGCTGCTCATGCTTCAGCTTCAGTCATGTTGCCACATAGAAAAACCCTAATGTGATTGATTGATTTATTCATAGGTTAATACATATTGCATTAAGGAATGACAATATGAATAATTACAATTCAACTACTACCTTGATAATAATTAAAAAAAGCTACATTGAAGGAAATCATTTATAAGCTTTGTTAAAAGAAAAAATAACTGATTTTTATTTACCATCTAAACATTTTACTGAGTTACTTTTTCACAAAAGAATTTAAGTAAAGAAGTGTTAATAGTTCTCGGTGTTGAATAATTCGTATCACTTTTCAAGATTTCACAAGATTTTGAAGTTCCATTTCGTATTAAAATTAGCATTATGAAGATTTTTTTGAATGTTTGACAGTCCTGGACTTTCCCATTTTCTTATAAAATATACAATCACTTTCTTATAAAATATACAACCAAGATTTTGCTAAACTTTGGAGCTACATTACACATCAGGATCAGATAAATTCCCTTCACAAGTTATCTAGATCAAGTTTTTTTGCAGATAGCTTCTTAATTTCCAGTTTAATTTCAGGTTTAAAATCACAGTAAACAATTTCAAAACAAACAAATCCCCCACTTAAAAAAAAAGCTATTATTTCTCACGTTGCTACAATATGAACACATTATCAGAACATGATAATCCTATTTTTGATTTCATTGGTGTGCTTAAAACTTTCTTAAAAAATTTTCCACAAGCTATCTTACAGCTATCCAAGATAAAGAGAGCAATCTTTTAAATCAGCTACCGTTAATTTAAATAAATACATAATAGATGGAAATTTCTGATTTAAAAACTAAAATTCCATAAAGCAAATCATTTAAATATTAATTTATAACATACTTACTTACTTCATTAAGAAGAAGTGATGAAAATGGAATCACAAAATTGTAGCAAATTTGCATTTTGTCTTGTTCAAGAGATATTTTCAAAATGAAACTAGATAAATTACCTAAAAATGTTTAAAAACAGAATAATGAGAAAATTTATAAATTACTGCTGATTATCTAAGATATTTTCATGATACATAAATATCAATCACTTCATGAATCACTTCAGACATCTAACTTGTGAATCACAGAAAATAACTTATTAATTTAATTCAATTCTGAAAAATGAACTACAGTAATCAATAACAGCAAATTCTGAACAGCAGTAATGGGATCCAATGATAAAAAAAAGTGTATATTAATGGACATGATATGACCAGTTGAATATGGTTGATGAAACAATAATAGATAGGAACAATTACCTGCAAGAAGTTTTCACTCCTAGAATTCTAAACAGAGCATCTGGTAAAAGCAGAAAGCGTAACAAAATAGTATAAAACAATGAAATCCTTTTAAAGCAGCACAAAAATTAAGTAAGTAAAATATAGATTGCTTATTGAATAAAAAGGTATTAGTTCCTTCTGAATTTCAGAGGAATAATTGGTGCAACTTTGGTGGGATCTCTGCCTACTTTCATGGTTTGATGGTGGCCAATTTTCATGGTCGACATGACAATACATAAATATATGGTTATGAAAGTTTAAAATATGCAATCATCTGAGGTCCTGGTTTCTTTTCCCATTTATTCATACAGGAAAATAGCTTTGGTTTACAAATATTTCAGGTGATGAATGATCTGCAGGAATGTGAAGGGCATTTCGCATAGCTGTTTTGATGTTACTAGTAAGTTTTTTGACTGCAGTGGCTGTATCTTTTTTAGTATGAAGAGCACAAGATCAAAAGGAAGTAGTTAAATGGTGATTAAAAAGTCTCGAATCAGTTGAGATTTTATATTCATCTGGAGCAGGTTTAGCAGTTTCTAAAGTAAAAAGTATAGGAATATGATCTGAAAAATATTTGGAAAGACAATGCATAACCGTTTTATATACTCCAACATCAAACGTGCACGCGCAGTAGTTTTGTTCCTGGGCAAGCCCATTGTTATAGAAGGAGGGTGGTCATAATGTAATGGCTCTTCTTTGCTTATATCTATCTATCTATATATCTATTATCTGCACATGATAGTTGTTGCATGCTACATTATTATTTAATCATCATGAATGCTTTGCATGTTTATGTCCAGCATGAACTGTGTGCATGGAAAGTAAAAGTATACATACAATTTCACAAAAATCACCGTGTCTGTAAATACACATGACATAACATAAATGTTTATAATGACAATAATATTTTAATAGAAAAGACTTTAAAAAATTCAAATTAAATTAAAATTTTAAATAATAGAAACATAGATGCATTGAAATATTTACAAAAGAACCTTATTTCTTGCAAAAAAGAATCAATCATGAAACCAGTAGTTAGACATTCTTGGTACTAATAAAATAAAATAATTTTAAAATATATTAGAAACCTATTATAATGAAAATATTACATAAAAAAAAATTACCTTCATTGCCATATTTAATAACGATATGTGAACTAAATATAGCTTTTATCCACAGGACTTCCTTTTCTTGCTTGATCTGCACTGTTTTTAAACCAATTTTATATAATTTATAATGAGAATATCTAGTACATGAAGACTCTTGACCTAGATAAAGTCAAAAAAAGGCAAGTCTATAATAATAATTTATTAAAATCAGAAGACTCCTTAAGTAATAGGCATATTTGGGGAAAATAAATAAATAAAAAAAAATAATATAAATTTCTTTAGCATACTTGCAATTTCTATTTATGATTTAAACTATGATTAGATAAAACTAATCAAGATCTAAACTATGAAACTAAATTAATAAAACTTCATCAAATATTATTTAAAATTTTATTAAAGAAAACAATACATGAGAAAGTTTCAGAGTTTTGAAAAATAATTCATCAGGTTTTGAAGTACAAGTTCCAAGTTATGAACTGCATGTTGATATTCAACAAACATCCAAAAAAACTGCATGTGGAAACTTTTTTGGGATGCATCAAGTAGCAGCAATGAATTTCATTTTCAAAATAATAGCAAAAAGAATTTCATGTTTTAGAATCTGCAGAGTGTTATCCACTGCTACTGTGGAATGTGACTTTTGAAAATTGTATAATACAGATTCATCAAAGCACCAGAGTATACTGCAATGACTCACAAACACTAATTACGTGTATAAAGGTAAGAGTCCCAGAGGGCCAAGCAATTCTAATGAAATTAATTATGCAGAAAGTTTCATGCAGAACCCACAAAAATCAAACAAAATGTGCTATAAAATGAACTTGGTGTCTCACAGCTAATCATTTAGGAGATTTTGCAATAGTGATTGCTGTTAAAACCACACCATTTACAGATTTTGGAGCACTTAAGACACATTTGATTATATCAAGCAAAATTAACTTTATAATTAAATGAAGGAAGCATTACAAGATGGTGATTTTGCCACACAAAATCATATTATTCAATAATGCAGCAACATTTCATTTATGCGAAACGGTAAATTATTACAGCATCTGGATACAGGGCATGGAAAATTGTCATGTTCTTATAAAACAGAAATGGAATTCAACTAAACTAAATATCTTCTAGACTGTTTCATATATAAAAATGCATAAAGTTCTTCTCTCTTCAAAAATAAAAAATGGAAATTTTTCATTGTATTAATTTATGGTACATCTTAATATGTTAAGTTGCAGGGTTTACACACCAGTCAATTAATGTTTTTTTCCCCTTTCATTCCAAATCATATAGAAACTTTACATTAATCTTATCACATACAGCCATTTTATGGTGTACAGCACAAAATAAGCAACGTGCTTCCTAACTGACGTCCAAGACAGAAATCCCTTACAAATATTTTCCCACAGTCAAATTTACCGCAATCACGCAATTAATCACATCATAATAGGGTTTTCATAACATTCAACTACTCAGGTTATGATAAATGTGATAAATGAAACAACTTGGCTATAATCCAGGGAGCACGCTAAAATATAAATTAACCAACTTTTTTTTGGAAAACCAATAATCAAAATGTAACAGGAAAGTTACCTCACTAAAGTCTTTGTATTCTTTAAAGAAATGTGCACATATTAGTAAATACTATAGTATTTCTTCAATTAGTACTTTGTAGGAAATCCTGCAGCATTCATGACAGCTTTCAAATGTCACAGCATAGAGTTCAAGTTTTTTTTTGGGGGGGGAAGGGGGGTGATATCTGCATCAATGTTCCTCCATTTTTCCATCATTATTGCTTTTAGTTCAGTTTTCATTTTTGAGGTGTCTTCATACTCTAACCTTTAATTCTCTCCAAATGTGTTCGAATTGGTTTAAATCTGGTGACCAAAGTGGTGTTTTTAGAACTTGTGGACAATTATAGACACACCAAGGTGAATGTTGAGGGCTATGTGCTTAGGATTGTTATCCTGATAAAAAATAAAGTTGTTTTCAATACCCAAATTTTAGGTGGACAATTTTAGGTTATTGTTAAAAATGCCATCAATAAATACTAAATTACCTAATCCTGATGCTGACAGGCACCCTTACACAAGGACAGGACACCTCCACCACCATGCTTTACTGTTCCAACCAAGGTCTTGGGATTCAGTTCCTTATTTTTTTCTTTTCCATACATTTATATGCCCATCGGAACCCAAAATATTAAATTTGCATTCATCTGAAAATGAGATATGGATCCAATATGCTTTGCGCTTATTTATCTTTGATTTTGCAAAGGAAAGCCTAAGATTTTTTATTTTTTGCATTTGCAAATCCTTTCTTCAAACAGAGTGCCCATATATTCTAGCTGATATGAGTATTTGTTGAACAGTTTTGGGTGAAAGTGAAGTAGAAAATTTTCCACTAAATTCTGTAGAAATCTATACAGTACTCGAACGTGGATTTTTCAAAAATTTCGTAACTATAAATTGCGTTAAGTTAGTTTGGTCAGATGACCTCTTTTTACTTTATTGCACCATAGAATAGGATAAATTTAATTATTTAAGGATATCCCTGACCTATTTTCAATCCTTTTGATGAAACATGATCAATTTTTGAATGCTATTCATTGTTTCCATACAACTACAGCCCGTTTTTATGTATTAAATCAAATATGATGAAATAAGCAAGCAAAGAATAAAGCCAAATAATTTTTTAAATGTTACCAAATTATAAAAACAAAAATTGTGGCAGGTAATAATTTTTATTTATGAGATTTTATGAAAATTACAGTATGGGTGTACGATTACCTTTGTACTGTGTTTCATCTATGTCTCCTTACATTTTTAATTTTAGAGAAAGAAAATAAATGGGAACAGCATTAAATTAAAATGTAAAAAAATCTGAAAGTTCATTTCTGATACACAGACTTGCACGCTGGAGATGAAAATGTTTTTTTCTGTACAACATTGTCATTGCTCTCTTTGAAATCCTTGAGTTTGTTAATTAAAACTTTGTTAAAGTTTTACAAAATATGAAATCGATAATAAAACAAATTTTAAAGTTTGGATTCCAGATGCCCACAATCATAGGAGGATTATGTTATTCAAAATTTGATGGCTCTAGGTACCATTGTTTTATCACAATGTGAAAAACATACATACATTTAAGCGGATTCTTCATTATTTAATTTCTTTAAATATAATACAGGGCATTAATATTTGGTGGCAAAAATTTGAAAAGTGAAACAACACTTGTAGTGAATCAATGCAAAATGTCAAAATGAAATTAATAGTCCTGCCGGGCAAACTGCCCTTTGGACTAATAAGTCATAGTTTTACTCAAAAATCACATGCAGATGATATGAAAAAATATTGGATTTTATATTCAAATTCCATTTCCAATTCAGTTTTTTTTTTTTTTTTTTTTTTTTTTTTTTTGGAAAAACAATTTTAGGCTATTTTAATTGCTTAAATCTCTAAAAAAAAAGGCCAAAAGATGTAGTTAAAATGAATTAAATGGCAATCCAGGAATGCGTGTAACACATATTTGAATACACGTGGATTTGCCCTTTTCAAATTCAATAGTCATGTTCCTCATTAGTATTTCATTTTGCATTGAGTGCAGTTGATTTTGTCATAATGAAACATAATGCATCACTGGAGTTTACTCTCTTTTATTTACACTATGCTGAAGTTTCAAGTGGCCTTGAAAGATTGTAATTGCCATCACAGGCCACATATAATCATGACTAGTGTGGAATGCCAAGTTTATGAACAGATTATTGTGCACATAGAAACAACTACATTGCAAAAAAAAAAAAAAAAAAAAAAAAAAAATGACAAGATGATTTCTGGGAAAAATGTTTTTATTGTTTTTATGAATGTAAAAAAAGAAAAAGATGCAATATTGAAATAGAAGAAACAATAATGAAACACGTTTCTCTTCAAACAAGTTGTTCTGTGGCAACAAGTTTACAACTTTTTGATGGGAGTGCAGACAACCAGAAATGACCTTAAATTTTTATAAAGAGGATAGTAATGTTCATTAATATGGAGAAGTGGAAACATAATTTTTTTTAAGGAAGACATTATGTTCATTAATGTGGAATAGATGAAATACAAAAGGGCACTTTCTGATTACTTGCATTCACACTAGAAAGTCACAGAAAAGCATTCTGTGTGGCAGCCCAGGTATATATGTAGCACATGTCTGTAATGGCCAGTGTGCAATTCTGAAGTTGTATGGATGTCATTGTGCAATTCGCAGATGCTTTTTAAATGAAAACAGATCATTGTGTAAGTGGATAAAACAGCAGCACAAAAAAAAAAAAAAAAAAAAAAAAGAGAGAGAGAATTTCTCGAAAATGTCAAGTTTTTATTACCAATTTTTCTTGTTTTTTTAAATTTGATTGATTGCTCTTGAATGGAATTTTTAGAGTACAGTCATTTTGGAAATGGCTGTTGCCTTTTGTGCATTAACTTAGTGGCCAATGAGTTTGTGAATGCTCTCTAAAGTTGGCAGCAAGTTCATAACTTTTTAATGACACTGCAGATAAAGTACCAAGAAAGTACCAAGAAAAGTATGACAAATTAATTTATTAAAAACTGAAATAACCACAAGAAAATTTTCAAAAAAATTATGTCCAACAGATAATTTTAACATTAAGAAATAAGCATTTATTTTTTTATTTTCATATTTTAAAGGAGTATTAATGATGTATTTAAATTTAAAATTCAAAAAATTAAGTGTAGATTCTTAAGAAATGTATTATTATTTTAATAGCCAGTCAAAATAAGAAAATTATAGTATATCTCTTGAGATTAAGTACTTTGACTTTACATTAATATATGTTAAAAAATGTCAAGAATAAAGCAAAACAATCATTTATTACATTTAACTTTGCCTATGCAAAATATACAAAATTAAAATATTAATTATTTGTTACATTATTACAAATGCTAAAAAAATGAAAAAAAATCTAGGAATAATTATTTTTATATGAAAATTATTTTATAATAGAATAAAAATAAAATTAAAAAAAATGCAAGAAAGCAGAAACAAGAAATTCTTACCAACTACAGTACACTGCGTACTTTCATAGCACATAACATCTTCAACCTGAAAGATAACAAAACTGTATAGTTACATAATTACACTATACTACATTTAAAATAGCAATAGTGTAATACATAACAAATAAAGTAAGATAAACTAAATAAATAAAAATATCATGTAAAACACTAATTATGCTTTGATAATATAAGAAGACAATGTTCTTGTAGATAATATCAAATCCTCCTCTAATTATATTATAATAACACAAATAAACCAAGTGGACATATTTTTTAAATAATTTTATTTATTTTTTAATAATTTGCAAATATAAATTAAATTGACTTCTAAATCAACCCCCCCCCAAAAAAAAATGAAAAATAAATCATTTTTTCAGCTCAGATACAAGCAATGGATTGTTAAGATCATACTTTAAACTATTTTAACCCTCCGAATAGCACAGCTTTTTGAATGCGCTCTTGAAGAACTGTATTTTAACAGCTTCTATTAGCTTAATTTGTATAATTACTTATACTACTCTCTGATATCATAAACTTTTATTTATTAAGATGATATTTACACCATTAAACAAAGAAAGAAAATAAATAATTTAAAGGATGCTTCACAGAGTATAGCGAAAGATCTAGTTGAATAACTTTAAAAAGGAGGAGCTAGTGATGTGAAATTGTGCACATGCATGGCCAGGGCCCGAAAGATAACTTATTTACAGACTCTGGTTAGTTTTTAAGAATATTTTGCTTCCTCCAAAATGTACCAGTATTCTATCAAAAATCATGTGTTTTTAGTTAAAACTTGTGACCAGAGACCTGCCAAAACATTCTGGAAGTGATCTAGTGCCTAAAAAAATAGGCAAAAGCCGTCTTCAAGCATATTAAGAGCATTAATCACCAAGTTTCAGTGAACAAATTTAATGGCTGAAGATAAAGTAGGTAATGAGACCAAACAACAACAAGAAAGCCCCAAGACATCACTGCTGTCAAAACAATAATGCAGAAAGAGTCATTAATATCAACTTGACACTTGGTTCAATAACTTAATGTCAGCGCAGCCACAGCATGGAGAATAGCCTGCAGAAATCTTGACATTTTCCCTTACATAATTTAGGACAAACTTTTGGTCCATATGCTATTAAAAAAGACCAGGGTTCGACAAGATAATGTTTGAAATGATCCAACATTGGTTTCAACAATACTGATATAACTTTTCCAATGAGACACACTTCTGGTTGGATGGCTATGTCAGTTGTCAAAATTATCAGATTTTGGAAAATAAAGAAACAGAATTTGTACTTGTCAAGCCTCTTAATCCACGAAAGGTTACTGTCTGGTGTGGTTTGCATGCTGATGGCACTTTGGATCTGTATTTTTTCATCCCAACTGTGATTCTGAACGCTAGTTAGACTTCTTGAAAACAAAGCATTATTCCCGATACCTACCATGAACACTGGATACAAGACACATGGTTTCAGCAGGATGGAGCTCCTTTACATTCAACATATGTTCAGAACTTGCTTAGAAATAACCATGACAATTGTGTCATCGTAAGATGCTTCCCAAATTGCTTTGGCTGTGGACATTTGTGGCCCCCCAATAGTCCAACGTATCACCACTAGACTTCTTTTTCTGTGGCTATGTTAAGAATCAAGTCTACAAAGATCAACCAAAAACCATAGAAGAGCTGAAAACAGTGATAACAAGTGTGATAAGGTTGATTCCAACAGACCATGTCAAAGAAGCTATCGCAAATTTCGAGCAGAGACTTGTTTCCTCAGATGGCAAACATTTTGAGAAATACATCTTTTAATCTCCTTTATTCTCAGGTGTAAATCCCAAAAATTTGAAACAAAAATCTTTTTCTGTTCGAAAGTTATTCACTGTTTTTTCTATACCCTGTGAAGAACCTTCTAAATTATAAGCTTATATAAAACAAGTACCAAAAAATCTTGTGACCAAATTAAGGTAGTCATGCTAATCAGGGGATTAATGAAAGCATCTTAAGAAATTTATTTTATTTTATTTATTCATAGCATACAACCACTGGTGCTTGATTTTTCTAATGTAATTAAACTTCTGGCAGTTTTCACTCACTACGGCACAAAGTCCAAGATCTGAATCTTTCAGGATTTTGGCGATTTCATATCATCAGTTTAAATCTGGTAAGATGACATGTAGAAATTATTAAATTAAAAATATGAAATAGTTTATAAATTACCACATATTTTTGCTCATAAGCTAGGAATTATGCAACTTCTTCTATAGACAAATTACACGGATCAACTTACATACAGATATGCTTATTCTTGGAAAAAACATAGGTTCTTTTCTGCTAGCTGGGAGCAAGCAATCATAGCCAAGTACCACATATTTTTATTTCTTCAATTTATGAAAAAAATTATAAATGAAAGGAGATATTCGTTTTATGAAAATGAAATGTTTTATATTT